TCGACCTCGTGTTCTCGTGTGCTCCAGCTGGGCAGAGTGTGCAGAGGATCAATGGATATTTTTTCACAGACTGACTTCCACCACCCCGCTTTCAAAGAGAAAGACAGATGAGATATGGTGGACAATCAAAGTTATTTTGTCGACATTTACTTTTATGTCTTGAATACTCTTTAAACTTTAAACCCCAAAAGTGATAATTCTATGGTTCATAACATACATGTCACACATTACAAAACACGATCCAGTGACTTCCGTCAATTCGACGTTATGTACTCCTACTGCCTAAGTACTATATGGCCCTATATAAGGTCTTACATAGCGTATGTCGTCAAGACAAAAAGTATTGGAGAACGACAAGAGGCATCTCTATTAAAAACGCCTGCATCTACTGTATCACACGCAGCTGAAATTTGAAGTACAAAAGTACAGACAGCCAGTGTGACAAAATCATGCCAAGGTCTGCGGCCAATTTCCCCCGTCTTCTCCGGAATGCCTGTGATCCTAAGAACCTCTCAAGACGAGTGAAGAAGATTTCTTGCTCCCTACCTGCGCCCCTTGCCTCTCGGCACCTGTTCTAAGCACTGTCACGCCGAATTAGGGCCTTTCCGGCCTCTTTCCTCTCCTAGACCTAACCCATATGGATCCTTGGGGGCAAACCACTTCAAATCTTAAAGATCCACGTCTTAAACCCTTAAATCTTCAAGAAAACTTATGCGCCATTTCTGAGAAACTTCGGCGGCTGTGTAACGATATCATGCAGGAATCTAAGGCTGAAGACTGGCTCATTTTTAGACCGATAGACTCAAAGTTTTTTGCGGGAAGGGTTAGTGGATGTTCCCGGCACTATCCCTGCTGGCAGGGCGGCTACGGTGGCTTTGCCGTGCCGCCCTTATCTCGGCTGTATCTATCGGGACCATGTGAGGCCCGACACCCGAGCCGCTCCCTAGGCCGTCCCCACCGCAGACTGCGCTACTTTCGGTTCACTTTGGTGGCAGTTGACTCGTGGAGAGACCCGGAGTGGGGGCGGAGTGACACCAGGGACATGTCTTATAAATCTCTCACATGGACAGAACGAACCCCACCCCTCTCAACCACACCACACCCCACCCCTCTCAACCCCACCCCTCTCAACCCCACCCTGCCCCTCTCAACCCCACCCTCCCTTCTGAACCCCTCCCCCAACAAAATATCTGTAATTATGACATTTTCTTAAAAAAGCTTAGTCGAAGATTTTAGTTATTCTAACGCATTCCTAGATCGTTTATCATTGATAAGTTAACCAAATAGTATACAGGGAATTGTTGCATGTTGTATGGCCCACTGGGACCAGCCAGAGGTGTCCATCAAATTAAGAGGGGCTCTAACTGAAATTCTACCTGGCCAACGAGTCTATACACCTTTCTACAGCCATTACTATCAAATTCCTTTTCCTTCTAAGATCATGTTATATCTCTCAGGATGTAATTGTAATAAGTTAATAATCTTAAAAATTGAGACCAAGGAACTTCAAAAATCTAACAAGAAATCGGACAGATTCAGACTTCCGTTTTTGTGTTTCGCGACCTTTGCCTAACCTTTTAACCTCCTGTCAATCTTCCTCAACCCACGCGCTGTCAACCTACTCTCGAGTTCATCACATTTCTTGTGTCTGACACTTTGACCTCCTGTCAATCTTGGGTTCCCCTACCCACGTGCTGTCAACCTACTCTGTCCGGACAAAATCTCTGATCTCCAAGCAGATATTGGGGGTGAAAGACCATAATCTTTTCTGATCTACTAGTAACTACTCTAACAGGCACACACCCAAAGAACTATCTGTCACAGAAGCCCAGTCAGAAAGTTATGTTTTCCACCCCACATCTGCTTGCAGATTAGTCATACCACTCCATACCACGGTGGGGGCTTCCCCCGTTTGCCACTAGTGCACTAGGGACCACTGGGGATTGGAACCGCATGGGCGTTTCTGGAATTCCTCTTCAGACAATGGGAAACAGAAGCCGGGGCATTACAAGAAGCTGATTTCGTCACTTTCTGCGATAAGATGCCGACGAGAAAGTACTTAGTTTCAGTTCAGTGAGTCATTGTTCTAGTAGAGTCGTTCTAGCCTCTACCAGGCTTCGGGAGGCGGCTGGAAAGACTAGAAATTGATCAAATAGATGGAGTTGGTTCGGGTGCGGCAAACTGTACATTCTAGCGGACCAACTCCCTCGGCATGTTATCTCTCTATTTGACCAATTTCTACTCTTTCCAGTCGCCTCCTTAAGCCTGGTAGAGGCTAGCGTTGTGCTGCTGTGCACGTGATGGGCGAATGCCTTCCGAATACGCCCAAGGATTTCCGCTTTTCCAGTTGACATTTCACCGAAAATCAAGCCAAGGTTTCATGCCTGGTGGCGCAAAAATCCTGTCATGCAATCTCCAAGCAGATACAAGGATACTTTAACTTTTCACTGGGTTCATAGTTCATACAGAGAACGACGTACTATAAAATGTCGCAAAAGTACGCATAAAACACTGAGGCGAGATAGAGACGAAACCTTACTTCACCGTATCATATTCTTGCAGATTATACTGTAATGTCTACGTCTGTTGCGCATTGCATGTACTCTGGAAAAGTCTTTTTCCGCATAGCAACAACCTACAAAATCAGGGTTGTACCATGGCAAAAATAGGGGGGTTACCGACAACATTCGGAATGGTGATAAACACTGTCTCTCGCCACAGGGCAAATTTCTTCACCAAGAACAGATACCTCTAAACGAGACCTCATATAAACCTCAGAATGTAGAGAGTCGTTACTGATAGAAATTCACCGTCTGTGACAGGTAAAGTTGAAAATAAGCCCGGCTCAAATGGACTCAACCAATCGACAACTTGGCAGAATCCGCGATAGCTAGAGGGAAACAAGGGTTTCCTGCTATAATCTGCGAAAAATTACTGCTGGGAATAGACTGGTATTTTCAGGAGTGGCTTTTTTAAGCTACCACAGCAGGATGTTGAGGGCTGAGTTTGCTTTTATTTCTTTCACGAATGACAGCGTTACCAGATTTGTCTGCCAAACCGAAGTGAGTTTCCACAAGAATTCTTTGGGGCTGAAAAAATAGTAGAAATTGGCATTATCAAGATATATATGTATGAAAATAAATAAATTACATTGATTACATTACATTGATAAATATATGTATAAAGATATTTTATCATGACGACTGGAAAGAGTAGAAATCGGTCAAATACTAGGTTATCTCTCTATTTGACCGATTCCTACTCTTTCAAGCCGTCTCCCGAAGCTTGGCAGGCACTTTGGGTTTACTATAAAATATCAGAAATTGGTCAAATAGTCTAAATAACTTGCCAGCGGATTTTAGAAGTGGCTTGATCACAACACTTATTTGGCCTTATTTTAGCTGCCGAGTCTCTTCCGTCCGAAATTGCTAGTTACGTACTAGTATATCGTTGAAGTAGTGAATTAGAGGATGCATCTTAAATTAATTTTACCAAAAAATAAAAAATTTCCAGGGGTCAAATGAATGCCAAGGGTAAAGTACACAAATTGAAGTCTTGCGACCATTTTACCAAAAGGAACATAAAAAAGTAACAAAAGAGGTTAAAAAATTGGATACCTGCAAATCATCAACAACGCAAACAAACTATAAAGTTTTTTACATAGATAATATCAAGGCTTGGGACTTGAACCAGTAACCTCTGGCCCTATAATCCTGAGTAACCTATCCGAGTGTTCCATCCCTTCAGGATTATACAGACCACAGGAGGTCGAATACGACCCAACCCAAATTCCACCTAGACGTTACATTTGGGGCAGCCTTGATTCGAAACAGTAACACGATTTTTCTTACCATAACCCTGATCTGAGATAAGCGAGTGCTATGTGCCTTGCACGTGTCACTCTGGACTTTTTCTAGTAACCTTACCTGCGAGTTGATTAACCTTAGGGTGACCTGTGGTAAATTCTGGAGCCACTGGTCACTTGACGATAAACATTTTACAATAACTGTGTTCACCTCGGTAGCCCCTAAGAGTAATCTTAATGCAGCGGAAATGTTTGATGAATTGCACCCTCCCCGTTTTACCGAGTCCCATTGTGCACTGCAAAACGTTTGGTTAACGCCCCCCTCCCACATTAAATTGACCCCCCTCCCCCTTATTCCAAAATAACTTTTCCATCGAAAGCGCAGCTGAGAATAGTCAAGTGCGGGTTACAATCTTATTAGCTGGGTGTTGTCCCTCTCAGAGCAAAATTGGAAGCCCTTCCGGTCGCTTTAAACACTTTAAATTGGTCTTTTGCTTCTCAAGCCAACAGTCACTGACCCTATTTGGGCCGGGGCTCGAACCCGCGACCCCTGGGTCACTTGTCTGAGACAAGCTCCCGAACAGACCTCCGCCAGTCATTCATCACTTCATTTTCAAACGGTGGGAATCTCGCTTCAGTCTGTCATTCTCCTGCCATCTGGGCAGGAAAGTCTAGCTGTGGCATCGGGAACGTTACAGCGTGTGTGTTAGAAGTCGCAAAAGGCAAAAATGAGGGAGGGGGGCAAATTATTGGCCTCTACCAGGCTTCGGGAAGCGGCTAAAAGAGTAGAAACTGGCCAGATAGACATGCCATGGAAGCGGCAAACTGTACTCTTGAGCAGACCAACTCCTCTGGCATGTTATCTGTCTATTTGGCCAATTTCTACTTTGTACTGCCACTACCCAAAGCCTGGAAGAGGCTAGCAAATTGTTGCATCAGAGAAGAGTTGACTCTTTGGTTCTGTGTTGGCCAAAGTGGGGACATCACAGGCTCATGCCACTGACCAATAACGGTGATGTTTTTGAGAACGACCTTCCACCCAACATCTACTTGGAGATTATTCCTACTTGTGCTGCTTCTACTTTCTAGCATAATATAGTCACTTGACCTCTTGTTTTCACAATGTCCAGCAAATATTATAGTAACATGAACTATAAGGAAGCCCAGTTGTAAAAACACAACCCAAGACAGTAAATTTCATTCAAAAGACATCTCTTTATTTCTTGTTCTTGTCAAGCTATATACAGTAGTAGTGTCTTCTATCAGTCGCTTCTGCACTGACCAAATTCCTCCTCACGGCCTTTTCCAACATGTCCATCTCATATAATGTACAAAAATCTACAATACTTCGGGCCTCTCGAGGAACAACTATACCCATATTTCTCCAACAATTCCTTGCACTTTCCTGACACGTAACCTTCTCATTCAATCCTTTCTTTTGACTAACACTGCATGTACTCATTCACACTCTTTTCTTTTCATCACTCAATCCTTCACAACAGCACTCATACCATCTGGGAAGACATAGCTAATATAGGTTCTCAACCTGAATAAAGATTGCATTGTATTTTCACGTGTGACGTATATATAATGCTTTCTTTCCATAACGGCCTTCACATAACTTTAAGGCAGCTTTCGGCAATTTGTTTACAAATACATTTTCTACATGGCACTCTGGTTTCACCACTGTAGGGCTAGCACACCCCTTTAAAAGTCTCTTCTTCAAACTCAAAAGAACTCAAAATGCCACTCATAAAACAAAAAAAGGATAAAAGGCAAAACATATGATGTTTTTCAAGGCACAGCACACTTGGTAAAGGATAAATTCAACCCTCACACGGTGACCCTTTATCACCCCTATTTGGTATGATTGGTACAGTCCTACTTGAGGTAGCAAGCCTTTTGCACTCATATTTTGGGGGTTGTTTACTTCTTTGTTCTTCACACTCATTAATATGAGAGATAAAGGCATATTCTGTAGAAATTGATTAATATTAATGATTTTCTAGATATTTCGGCTCTCATAGCTTGCTATATATCTATCTATATAAATCCACCAGTTGAATTTCGTACATTGATATCTTGGCAACATTTTTTTGTTTGTTTTGTGATCTTCCAAAATATAATTTCCTCATTTCTACCTCACCAAAAGATAAGCTCGGAACATTGGAATTTTCTACTGTATTGGAGGGTTGAAAGTTTATAAAAGTGCAATTCGAGCCCTACAATTAAATCACGTTGTGCTGAAAAGAAATGAAATTCAAAGAAAAAAACGTCCCTAGCCAAACCGTCTGTGAAAACCATTCAATTCAATGCCTCCAGTGTGTGCAAACCAGCCAGTTCACCCCTATCAAGTAATGGTGTAATCCAGCTTTGCCCATCTTTTCTGTGCAAATTTACCCGCATTTGGAACTCAGCATTCTAGAAGTAGGGGTGCAGGGATGGTTTTTACACAACAATTTTGGAGGCTCCTTCTTTTCAGTATTCAAAAAACTCCTACCTAACTAGTTAACATTGCTTGCTCATTCTGCAGTGGTGCCTTGGACACCACATTTTTGATAACAGAGTTCAAGTTTAAATGTGCTACAAACCACCACACACGTTAATATGTCTGGAAACGGCACACGGAACACCATAGCAGACAAACGCTTCGGGAATCCTCTGACTTTAAATGCGATCCTTCCAAAAAAAATGGAAGACATTGTTGTAACATTTCCACTCAACTCCAGTCCAACTCAAGTCCAAAAGTCTGTGTATGGAATGTCGGTTGCTGAAAGTCCATTGGAATGCTGCACGGAATGTCCTGACACGATGTGGCACCAAGTTCGTGGAATGTTCTCGCTTGTGGAATGTACTGATTCAGCCAGTTGAGTATCCCTTGAATTCCAACATGGAAGACGGTTCTCTACTTCTAGCCCCGCCATGTCATCAACATGGCTTCTGGTTCTCTGCGTGTGAAAAATCTGCACTCACAAAAGCAAAGTAGCTTTGTGTTTGATTGACTCTCAACATATTGGCTATGATCTGTGCTATGCAATGACAACTACATCGGCTTGCACGCCCAACTTTCAAACAAAAACAAACTTTTTTTTGGTTTACATCAAAAGCACTAGTGTTGGAGTCACCTGACGGTAAAGCATATTTGCACATTTCTGGCGTACAGGATTTCTCGTTGGCAGAAAACCGCGGGTTTAGAAGTCGATATCACGGATGTCTGTTGGGGTTGAGGATTGGTCCTTCTCTTCTTGGTGTTTCGTCGCCAAAGGGTCTGGATGAGACATCGGACTGCAGAGGCTGGTGGCTAGTAGCTGTTCTATCTGCTCCTGGCATGCTCGCAAGCAGTCCTAAAAAACACAAAAGAAGAATATGATTAGCAAACAGGTGTACACTTCACAATCAGATTGGCTACAAGAATGCACAAGAAGGCTTCCCATTGGTTAGTTCCTAACATGTGACAAGTCATTTTCCACACCTGATTGGTTTGACCAAATCAGGTGACTTGGATTTCAAATGATGCATGCTTACGAGGTTTCTGATTGGTCCACACAGAACAATGTGATCACTCGGCTTACACGTGGCAAACACATGAATGCCTAACACACTTTTTGAACTCTTCTTTCAGTCTCATTAAGATCTAAAACCTTGCTAATCGCTACAATTCGATTCTTAGTCTTTTCACCATTTCAAAAAGACATGTTTGTCCACATAGCTTAAGCAAACGTATCTATTCTCTTATTCGAAAACATACAACAAAAGCTGTCACACTATCTGGCTGTTTTTCCTAATTTAATAGAAGCAAATTTGAAATATGAATGAATGACGGTTAGGTAAGGGGAGTTGGCTGTGGTTGGAGGGGTGAGGAGGTAGTCTTTGATCCTTTGTGGAGTGCCACTGACCCAGTGCTCAGGTCTTCCCTCTGGTCACTCCTTATAAACCTAGGCAAGAAACCTGAGAAGGGGCTAAGAAAACTTCTTTTCACCTTGGGTTGGAGCCTGAGACGAGATATCCCTGGGATACCCCACCTGACTAGCTTAATCCACTTGTGAAGATTAAACCTAACCGAGATTAAACAAGGCTTGGCACACTTCTTTAATGTTACAACTGTGGGAGGTACAAGTGACCACAGAAATAATTTTTCTGTGGCTTGATCAAACTTTTTTCTGTGTAGCTTCTGCTGACAAGAAGTCTTTCAAGAAGCCATAGCTTTGACTTCGCAACGGTAAGTTTTCTTCAAGCGAGGCAGGCTTTTTTCCAAGTGCTTTTTTCGGTGTCTGGGAGTTGTCCTTCTATGTTTGTTCAGTCTCTTCAACAGTTTGTTTTTCCCATCTCCTAAAGCAGGGCTCGGAAGAACTTATCAGCTCAAACTAATGACAAGGCCAATCACTGTAACCCTAGCTCCACGTTCAGAAACAGTATCCAAAACGAATCTCCAGTTTGACTCCCGTGTTTTGAGTCTTTAGCTGGGGCTGAGTTTGTTGTGGGAGCTTAGGACTAACTCTTGAGTTGTGGTATTTTCTTCGAGACATGTTGACAGGGAAGGCGCAGAACTTGAGGACCTTAAGTCCTGCCCCGATCTAGACGGTACACTCTCCGACATTCCTTCGCACAATTAGCCGCTGGCCGGCGTGGATCATGTTCTGTTAAGAAAACATTGTACTTAAAGGGTACAACAACACTTCAGGAAAAAAGCAAAGCTCTGGTCAATGGGGGAGGGTGAAATCCTATGCACAAGTACTCGCTGTTTTTGCATCAGGTTTGGGGGGAGAACAAAAAACAGCTGGGGGGAAGAAAAGGCTGGGAGAAGGGGAAACGGGCCATTGGAGAAAGCTGAGAAAATATGGGGGCAGGGAAACTGTGCCTGATACAAAGTATCGAATACAGCCGCTCAAAGGCCGGTGGAGAGTCGTAAGCAGCAATGAATGGAGGGAAAAATGCCGGGTGAAGAAAGAAGTGGCATAAGGTGAAGCTCGAGGACCTGAGACTGGGCAAAGGTCTAGAAAAACATGCAGTAATCCGCACATCTCCCTGCAGAAACTATAGCCTTCTGTAATATACCAGATTAACAATTAGTAGTGATTACAGACAGATATAAGCCTTGTGATGGTACGTGCAGGTACAGAAGGATTCTGAGGTGGGTGTGCGAGGGTACCACACCCACCGAAAACGGCCATTCAGGGTTACTATGGAAACCAAGTCAGACAGGAGGGCGGCTTTTGTCTGCGAGGAATTTCTGGGGTCAGCTGGGAATTGAAAAGAGGTTAGACAGCGTGAGCGGAGCGCTGTGCACGTGGGCACGGAGGTGGTGGGGGGATCGGTGTGGGGAGAACCATGCTCGTGTGAGTCACCGCCAGCTTTAAAAGGACGATCCCATTCCTCACACCCCCCTCCCCTCTAGAATTACAATCTCTCAACTAGCTTCAAACTGAAGGAGGAAATTTCGGGTCAAATTTGCTAGCTAGTTACGTTTTCTCGGTCATTTTTATATCCGAACTTACTAAAAGTTAACCAATTTTTACTTCTTTCTCAGCAACCTTAACTAGATTCAAAGTCAAACTGAAGGAGAAAATTACATGACAAGTTTTCTTGCTACTTGTTATGTTTTTTTAAATCATTTTCATATCCAAACTTAATAAGAATGAACCACTTTTTACTTCTTTCTGAGCAGCCCAAGTAGTCTGGTAGAGGCTACCAGCCACCCCTCATTACCACAGACATTTTTGGTGGTGCCTAACCCATCCTGTTGACACTAGGACACCCAAGGTCATCTCCTAACAGACCCTGGCACCAGAAGTATTTTAACTGGTCGCCCTGATGTTACCCAGGGTGGTCCGAGAGATGGCAGTTCCAGTAAGAACACATAAACCTCCCTCAGCTTTGCACTTGTCTCCAATTAAAAGCTAATAACGCAGGCAGCAGGTGAAAGAATCCCGGTTTGAAAACCTTGGTTTGTCCGTGGGCGCTCCCCGGATTTAAGCCTTGGACTCAACTGGAACCATGTGTCTGGTTTACTGCTGCGTTTGGCTTCAAGGTTCCGAAAAAAAGCATGAGCTCCGTTACACTGCCACTGTAACTGGGCTATTTTGTCTTGTTATCTCTTTCTAGGGTTCAGCGTACTGTTACAGGCTTACAGCTACACGTGTACTACCAAGACAAATTGTGCTTGACCTTGATAGCCTTCCAAAAAGGGCTGCCTTCCAAATGTGATGTCCAGCACTTGACCTTGACAATTTGTCCACAATTTGTCACGGTCTTATTTCACTGCTGGCCTGTCTGCTCCTTATGATACTAAAGTAGATCTTAGAACTGAGAGCACAGCAAAATGTCGGCCGCTAGCCTCCCAACAAAACACTGCAGGTTTGACCTTGTCCAATTTGTTCACTCACTTCCTGCTCAGAAGGGTTCTTCTGTAAGAGAGCTTTCATCCCATCAGTGCACTGATATCAGTAGCGGGGAGGTAGTGCGATACCGTGCAATCATTTACGTTTGCTGCACTGCTAAAAATGTTATGGCAATGTGAAATTCAAGAGTTTGCTGTATCCTTTTTTTTCAAGTTGAAACAACCAAAGTAAAACAATGGAGGACAAGGCACATGCTTGCAGTGTGTGAGTTGTCAGTAATCTGAAGGTTTTGAAACACCATGAAAATTTCATAATTTACGGTACTGGGTCAAGCTCTGAGCAGTAGGGGGGCTGTTGGGTCAGATCTGGGCCGGCCATGTGCTCTGAGCTCTGCTGAGCTCCACAAGGTGGCAAATTGCTACCATCTGCGATTCATCAGATCTTCAATTAGAAGCTATAAAGTTGGTGCAGAGATAAGACTGGCTGGGGAGTTGGGTGCTGTGCGGCCACCCGCACTGCTCTGGAGAATCCCTCAAGACACAGAACAGAGCTGCGCGAGGGTCAAGGTTTGTTCCTTCCTTCTAACACCCTCTTATCACACAAGGACGGCGGCTTTAGACTTGAGACCGTCCAGGGCTCAAGAAAAATCAAGAAGCCCTCAACAGGAGGAAGCTCCAATTTTCCAATTGGAAAGAAAATCTTGGTTTCAAGTTCGGAGGAATTTGCTTGGCCGAAATACTGTGGGGGTGGTGTAACAACCTACCAGGTTATCCTGTGCTTTTTACATTATCTCCTACCTAATTGTCTGCAAATACAACAAGAAGCCATAGGCGACAATTCTCCGTGAAGTTTTATATATTTCAACAAAATCCCAAGCGTCAACGCCAGACCTACTGTGCATACATTATAATTAGGCAACGGTTAATACAATGAGGGCGCGTCACAAGCATAAAACATACAAAGAGCTAAATCCATTACTGCTCCCAGGGCGTGTCGAACTTCATTTTAATTACACACACACACAATCATTGCATTCACATAAAGATCGGACTATCATGGTCGTGTCTAGTAACAAAGACAGCCCCACCGTCTTACGGTGCCTGTACCTAATTAAGCGCGCCTGGAACAAGCCAAATTCCAGCAACAGTGGCGGTAAGCACCGCGAGTGTTACTACCGCCGGCCAGATAACCAGGATATCTGCTTACAGTACCTCTGCTACCAGACAACTGCCTAAACCTACGGTCTATTCCACAGGATTGTAAAAGTAGGGATGTTTCGAAAATAACCATTTACTCCAATATCAAAACAGCTACGGTAAAAATAAAAAGACGTGCATCATCCCGGACATAATGCAACACCACATGCGAAATTACACAGATATGCGACGTACGGCAGAATGCGTTTTGGCTGCGAACATCTTCCAAAAAACTTGGCATCTCTTAACCATGGGCAAAAACATCTGGAACCACTTATAAAAACCACCCCGTATCTGCATGAACTTTTACCTCCCCCCCCGCTATTCCAAACAACGCGTTTTTCTGGACCGTTCCAATTCGCCTCGTAATTGTAGGGGTGCGTCTGCGATATTACATTGACCGCGAAAGCAGCAACGGCAAAAATACACATTCGTGCATCAACACGGGCATGCCCGCAGACGGCGTATCAAATTGCGTGCCGATTACACGAAGAGAAC